TCTCTCTCTCTCTCTCTCTCTCTCTCTCTCTCTCTCTCTCTCTCTCTCTCTCTCTTTATGCAGTTTATGAACCCTGTTTGCTACCGGTACCAGTCAAATGTTGTTTTAAAAATAACCAGCATATTTAACTTTGACTGGACTGTTGTAACAGCAAGAAACAGACAAATAAAATGTGTTACATTTACACTGCTAACACATGAAGCTTGCAGTTTCCTTCTATGATGATTCTTCTAGAAGTTTGTTGGTGAACTGTTCCCTCCTTGTTTCCATTCATAAAAAGATGCTTGAAGGTTTTCTATGTATATCTGTCATTCAGTTACATGGGAGGGTGTCTTTCGCAATGAAGATAGATGATAATAATCAAAAGCTAATGCCTGGATTTCAATTGCTTTGTGTTATTCTTTCTTCTACAGAGAAAAATGACTCTGGATTCATGCGTTTTGCATGTCCTCTCTGTTCCGCAATGTGTTTTATAACGTCGAACAGAAGCACTGCAAAGCAAGAAAGTTCTAATTTCTTGTCTTATCYTCTGATTGAAAACTAAAAGAAACATAAACTTGACAGATCATGTTGTGTTAACTGTTATACCACTTCTACAAGAAAGACAGGATACATTTTTAACTAATAAAAATTGCAAATTGAAAACAGAAACAAAAAAGTCTGTTTAAGTACTTCTGTTAAAGCGAAAAATATTTTTTTATGGCAGCTCAGGTAAGGCAAACCCTTCCAAGTCCAAAATGTCCTCTCTTTTTTTAAGAACATTCTGGGCAAAAATAATCACGGACTGAACTCTTCAGCCTGAAACTATCATTTAAAAGATAAATATATCATAAGCTGTGTGCTATTGAAAGCAGTAATATGTTTTGAAGAGACCGCTTTCAGAATCTTATCCTCTAAAAGCAGGTTTTAAAGCTCTGAAGATCTGCACAATGCCTTCGCTTCATGGTCCCAGCTCATAGAAAACCTGATCCGGCTTGTGTCGTGCATCCTTTCAGCAACAAGAAAACCATCGGGAAGTAATCCTGTTTGGCTAAATTCAACCCCGGGATCAAAAGTCACCAAGAAGTGACACCGAGCAGACGAGGCCGGAGAGCTAACAAGAGGGCCATGCTTAAATTGGGTGACGGTGGGAGATATACGTCCACGTCACCGAGGACCTTACAGACCCTCACTTAATCACAACTGGGACTATGGGCCACTAATTACGCTTTTCCTCCTCACATTTCCAAACACGGCATTGCTTGTGACCTTATCTCTGCGCCTGGCGGAGTGTTAGCGTTCACATGGCAAGTGTGGCGATGAATGTAATTACTGGAGGCCAAAATAATAACACCGTCGTCTTTGAGCGACCGATTGTTGTGGAGCCCACCCACCTCCACTCCAAATTAGAGGAGATGAGGATAAAAATAGAGTTATTATAGCACCGGATCTTTGAGAGAAACCCATTCACAAAGCAATGGAGAGAGGAGAGAGAGAGGGGGGATGTGATAMTAATAATTCAGGGGATTTAATCTCACATGAAAACACTCAGAGCAATCCTGTTATAAACTTTATCACAGAGCTGGAACTTTAAAATGATGCGCAGGCATTTTAGGAGTCTCAGATAAGGAACTTGGAAAATACAAACAAAGACTTTAATAAAATACTCCAMCTTATTTAAAAAAATGTGTTCGCAAATGACAAACATAATCCTAAAAATGATGATTTACCAACTTTATCGTTGATTCTTTTAGCTTGTGTGAGCTTGCTCAAGTCATTCTGAGCACTTAATAAATTGTTTGCCTTCCTTTATTTGCACTTTTCACCCAAAAGAAGAGAAATAAACTGCATTTTGTTTTTTTTTAGGTTATTAATTAGTTGCATAATATTAAAAGCTTAGCAACCTGCCACCTTTCATGCCAGGGTTTTAAGTAAAATTATCTAATGATGACAAAACTGCAATTAGAAGTAATTCCAAACACAAATTTTGTGTTGTGAGTGACTCTCAGCTACTACCACCTTAAATTTTAGCTCTTCTTTAAAACCATGTTTTGAAATGTTTGTTTGCTGTGGTGCTATCTTGAACACTGTAAAATAATGTGCATCTAGGCAAGTCTTACAATCTTATGTCAGCCAAAAAAGGTATTTTTGACCTTGTTTTGAAACAATCAATCTTGTTAGCTCAGATATTTTCCACATTTTAAGAATTTTTACCAAGTGCAAATGTCTAATTCCACTGGCAGATTACTTCACCTAATTTGAGAACATTCCGACTCAAATTAAGTGAAATAATCTGCCAATGGAATAAATTGCACTTGGTAAGATTCCTTGAAGTAAAGATTCCAGGATATCAAGAATAGTAATCCAACACATTCTGCTTTTGCTTAGTATATCAATCTTAAAGCAAGATTAAAAATACTTTTTGACTGGATATAAGATTAAAAGTCCTGGTTAGATGGACACTTTTTTGCAGTGTGCATTTCACTCCACAAGCTAACCAATTGTAGATAAGTTTAATCAAATGATCATATGAATCAAAAATAAAAAAAATGTCTATTGTATGTGTAAACTTATACACATACATAAAACTAACTCGTATACTTTACTCAAACATATTTTCTGTGTGTATTTTTAGAAATAATATCGACTGTTTGTTTTAAAAGTTGTGATGTGTACGCGGACAAAACTTATTCAACAGCGCCATCTTGCGGTCAGGAGTGGAACGTCGTCGCTCTAACTTTGAACCGGAAGTGCCTTTTTTTCCTGTTTTGCACGTGGAGGAGAACGTTCACCAACATGGCCGCGTGCAGTGTGGAGGAGTTGTTAGCTAAAGCCGAGCAAGAAGAGGCTGAAAAACTACGAAGTATCACCGTCCACAAAGAACTGGACCTGGACTTCGACATCGGTAACCTGCTCGCTTGTGACAAAAACCGAATCGAGTCCCGGGACTTCAGGGGACAGAAGAAGGAGGACTTCTTGCGGGGCTTAGCCCGAGACAACACTCAGCTTCTCATCAACGAAATATGGAAGCTGCAGACGGAGCGGGTTGAGGAGGTGATAGTCGCGAAACTACCGGAACCGACCACCCGGCTGCCGAGGGAGAAGCCCCCACCGAAGCCCAGACCTCCGACCAAGTGGGAGCAGTTCGCCAAATTGAAAGGCATACAGAAGAAGAAGAAGACTAATCTGGTTTGGGATGAAACTGCGAAGGAGTGGAGGAGGCGCTGGGGCTACAAGAGGGCCAAGGACGACACGAAGGACTGGCTGATCGAGGTACCGGAGACCGCAGACCCGAACGAGGACCAGTTCGCCAAACGCGTCAAAGCCAAGAAGGAGCGAGTGGCCAAGAACGAGCTGAACAGGCTGAGAAACATCGCCAGGGCGCAGAAAGCCAAAATCCCCGGGGTGGGCCTGCTCCCCAAGACCCAGCAGTCCAAAGACGAGCTGTCCAGAGCCGTGTGCGTGGCCAGGACCTCCACAGCGTCCGCCGGCAGGTTCCAGGAGCGCCTGGCCAAGGAGAAAGCCCCCAAGAACTCGGGCAAGAAGAGGAAGTTCGAGCCTCTGATCGGCGACTTCTCCAGCGAGAAGCAGCGACAGCTGGACCTGCTGAAGGTCCTGGACAGTAAGAGACCCAGGCTGGACATCACCAAGGCTGTGAACACACAGATGAGACAGGAGGACAGGGAGGAGGCCGCGGCTAAATACAAGGGCAAGAAGGGCGCTGGAAGGAAAGGAGGCAAAGGAAGGGCTGGAGGAGGAGGTGGGAAGGGAGGAAAGGCAGGAAGAGGAGGTGGGAAGGGAGGAAAAGCAGCAGGAGGAGGAGGAGGGGGGAAGAGGAGGGGAAAACCTGGGAAACGCTGAGGACTCAGGTGACCTGGACCAGAGCTGGACTTCAAACCACCCTGAATGTGACTGGGTTCTGGTTCTGCTGGACAAACTGAAATACACTTAATGATGCAGAACAAAACAGCTTTTTGTTTTTATTTCACATCGATACAGAACTCAAAGTCTTTATCCAATTTAAAAAAAAAATGGACTAAAAATTTGACATAAATTTGCAGRTTTAATAAGATTTTTATGAATGTGAGTCGTTAGGTGTTAAATGTTTTAAAGTGTCCACTGTCGCCATTTTTTCCCTCCATAACTTATGAGTTAAACTATTTGGAGCAAAAATTCTGTTGCTGAAGTTTATAGAGAAGCTTTAAAAACTACTGACAGCTTATCATTAAGAGCTGTTTAATGACTATATTTTTCTGTGTGCAACACCTGTCAAACTTCATTTTCCTGAATTATAAAAGTGTCAGTGTTTTTATCTCTAAAACACATGTCTTGTTTGGGATTATATTGTCAAAGTTTATATAAATGATGACAAATTATAAAACCTTGAGAATTTATTTGAACTACTAATGTTGTCTTTTTACTAAACATCGTTCTTCTGTTTAAACCCAGTTTGTAATACTTTTATTTCCAGACTTTTATAAACAGTTATTAAATACAAAAAAATATTTTACAATTATGCCCTGAAAAGTCAATAATTTACACAAATTTTGTGCAGGAATTCTAAATATAAAAAATAAAACAAAATGATGTCATCTGGAGTTCAAGCTCTATGTTTAAAAAATAAAAATAATCAAGCTTCACAAGGACACCAAAAAATATACGAAGGGATTTCCCAGCTGAGAAAAATCTATTAGAATCGATGATCAGTTTAAAAAAATCATATATAAAAGTTAATGGTAAGGATTATAAGACAAGTRTAATTTTTTTTAAATAATTTAACTGTTGATACAAAATATGCTCTTTTAGATACCAAAACTGCAAAAATAGATCTTTTTTTAAATTAACAGTATTTGCTTTTTATTTTTTATTTATTTATTTTGCACTGCAGCCTCTTTTTGCAGCACAAGTCTCAAATTTATTGTCCTAAATGTTCAAATTAAAACATTTCAACCATAAAGGACGTTGGCGTCTTAAAGCAATGATGCCTCTTTCTCTCTAAGATGATAAATCTCTAAAAAAAACAAAAAAACTTTGACCTGTCATAAAGCTGAGCTGTTTCACATCAAGAAGAATAAGGTTAATGTTTTCAGGGTCCAATAAACATGAAAAATGACATGAAGATGTTGGTGCTGCTTAGACTGTTGGATCTGAGCCAGATTTTTTTATTTTGAGTCCAGTGAGGAGCGTGGTTAGATGGTTATTGTTTGTGATGTTATTGCATAATATTCCCCCATGCTTTAATCTAAAATAAGTATCCCAAACTAAAATTTAAGACTTGCACTTGATGCAAATAATTAAAAAAGCTCTGATAGCAGTTTTTCAGCTCTTCTCGTCCATCTTTTATTGTGTTTTCATCCGATCAAACTGCTCTGATTCTTAAAAACATCTGCTCTGGTGTGTTTTTAATGGGATCCTTTTCTCCTAGATTGCAGTGAAATCTTCCACAGACTTGAGTCTTTGTGTTCAGGGTAAAGCAACAAGAAGCAGGCTTTGAACCGTGGCTCTGTTTGAACGAGGACCTCGAACTTTTGCACGCTCGGATAATGAGGTCAAACCGCTGCCTCGTCTATTTAAAGCTGTTTCCTTTTTCAGATGCCACACAGACTCACTGCCTGCTCAGTTTGTAAAGCTTTGTTTTCAGTTTATGCTGATGAAAACGTGGTATTTTTAGGTAAATAAAAGTGATAAAGTCAGCAAGCATGCAGACTTTAGATGTGATTCTCTGGCTGAGTGTCTCCTGATTGATGGATGCTTTTTAATCTCTGACACATCACAGCAGTGGGGGGGTTGAAGTTTCAGTCCCCATCTGTTGAGCAGTCACGTCTTTGTTCCTGTTGGAAAGTGGGGCACATGTCGATGAAACGATGGGGCCTCTGAGTCAGGGGCGGGGCCAAAGAGACCTGTCCTGTCACTCATCTGTCCTTTCCCTGATGACTGATAACATGCAGTTCCATATCTGAACACTGGAGGCGCTAATGAGTCGAATAGGAAAGTCCAGCATGAATCAAACAGAAGTCTCCTTTTCTTTTTCAGAAGATTTGAACAATCCTGCAGAAAGTCTTTCATCTGACAAATGATGGCTGGATTTTCTCACGTGCTGTGTGTTTGAGAGTATTTTATCTATGTACAGTAAAAGTGCATGTAAAGGTGGTGAGGAAAATTTACTGTGCAAGCTTTTCTTAATTGCATTTCATTACATCAGAAGTGTTTGAACATGCAAATACTGTAAATTAATATATGAATACTGTGGCCCCTTGATGGCCCCTTATGCATAAAAAATTAGATCTGCCATTAAGTTTATTCCACTGCTGAGCTCAATAAAAAAAGTAATAATAAACGATTTATTCTATATTTTCTGCAGGATGTGTGAGCTGTGCAGCGAGGAGGACTGGGGTCCAGCTGCAGTCAGTGCTGCAGTGGATCATCATTCTGCTGCAGCTCAGACGAGGTGCAGGAGCTGAAGCTTCACCATGCAGCAGATCTACACGCGCAGAAATGAACATTTAGAAGTCTTCACCACCGTCCTGGCTCCACAAGGTGAGTGGAACCATGTCTGCAGTGATAATTCTTAAATATGTCCAGTCATAGATGTCAAAATGACCCCCCTCCTTTTTTTTTTTCCTGCTGAGTCATTTCCTCTCGAAACGGTTAACAGGGAGGTGTTGGTACAGAGCAGAAGCTGAAAAGGTAAGTTTTTCTTTTTTTATGTTTTTGCTCATGTCTGTTAACAAAACTTCTCTTTAACCGCTAAACGGATTTTGATGAAACTTTCAGGAAATGGTCATCAGATGTGCATCTACAACTGATTAACTTTTGGAGTCAATCCTAATCAAAATGGCTGCCACAGCCAACTGACCTTTGAAAACACAAAAACGACCATTTTCAGTCATTTTTATGAACAATGAGCTCAAATTTGATGTTTTTGTAGCCGAGAGTCATTTACAACACATACTTTACTTATTGTGTGAGACCCTTGCTTAGTTTCAGCATTAACTATCAGAATCAACTCTGTTTGTCTGTTAGCAAAATATTACATGAATCAGTTCATGGATTTTAAAGAAACTTTAGAGAAATTATTACTGGTTATACCCTTACAGCTGATTAACGTTTGGAGTGAATCCTAATCAAAATGGCCAGTGCAGCTAATCAGATAGCTACATAAAAATTATTATACCTCTGTCAGGTTCACGGACATTGAGCAGAAATTTGATGCGGTAGTAGCTGATGGTCATCTTCAACACATACTCTGAGCTCTAACACACCCAGCAAGATCATACAATATTATGAGATGGCACTAGTTGAAAACACAAAGAACAGTGAGCACTGTGCATTCTTTTAAATAAACATCAGGCCTGCAGGAGTGACTGTATGTTGTGTAAAAGTGCAGTTCTCTCTGTGTTCTTTAGATGGTGGTGGTGCACAGCTACAGGCCCCACTGGCAGGACGAGCTGGCCCTGTCCACGGGTGACATCGTCCTGGTTCTGTCCAAGCACGAGGAAGAGAGGTGGTTCGGGCGCCTGCAGGACGGGCAGCGGGGCTACTTCCCCGCCTCCTGTGTGATGGAGCTGAGCCAGGTCTGTTAGCAGCACGGATGTTGGACCGAGCTGCTGTTTCTCCTCAAACACTGCACATCAACTAACTTAGAAGTTAATCTATGAGTGTAGAAAACTAATTTACTCCATTGAAATAGCACCTAAAGTTACAAATTTTAATATTTCAAGGTCAAATTTATGCATTTGAAAACAAAAAATAAGGTACTTTATTTAGAATTTTGAAAATTGGGATAAGTTAGTTATTATTGGAAGTTCTTTTTGTTTGGAGTTGAACATGCACAGTTTAATTTGGGTTAAATTTATTTATCTCTAAAGCAATAAATCAATGAATTTGCGCTCTGGTCAAGCTATGGTGAAAGCTTCTCAAAGTTAATTTTAAGGAGAGTTTTCACAAAAAAACAAAAAATTAAATAAATAAAGTTGTGCGCAGGTGATATAAACATCAGACGACAAACACAAACCTTCTGCATCTGTTAATTGAATTTTAACCCATCATAACAAGCTCAAACATTTGAATATCTTGATTTATTGTGAAGAAAAAGTACTAGATATAGAGGAGAGCATCAGAAACATTCTGCAGGTCAACTCAGGACTGAAGTGGGCYTTTTTGTTTTTCCTTCCCAGACCAGCCGGCCTCCCAAAGGCCTCCAAAGGAGCTTGTCTCTGAGGACCCCAGCAGGAGACAATGAACGTAGCAGGTATGGAAAGTAAACACATCAACAATTACAGTCATGACCGCTACACACACACACACACACACAAGTCTGCACAGCAGGTCCACGCGCTCATCCGGCAGATGTTCCCCACATCCCCCCATATCTAAACCTCATCCCACTCTTCCCCGCCTAGAGACCCCTGAACAGGTGGCCCCTCTTGCCTCTCATTAGATAACAAAGCGCACTGATTGCCAAACCCCCACAAACACACACATGCACAAAAGAAAAAAAGTCAATCACCGCTTCTTAAAGAATTGAGAGGCAAAAAAATGAGGCGTTTTTTTCCTGAAAATGAATTGAATTATTCATAAGAATTACAATTATTAGACATTCAATCTGCTCAATTAGATCAAATGTAAAGTGTCTGATTATTTGTTTAAAAATGGGCAATTTGCTTTATAAAATATGTCGCAAAATGTGTTTAAACCCAAGTAAATACACACTGCAGCCCGTCGTAGCTCCAGGCTTTGATTGCTGGAAGTGAAATTTAGGTCATAAGGAATAAACAGGGCCTTTGTGTTTGTTATTTCCTCTTTGTCTCCCTCAGGAGGAGAGGCACAGGAGGAGGAGGAGTGAGGCTGGATTTTGGCCAGGCTGAGCGTGAAAGCCCCTTCCTGGTACAGAGACCCCAGAACTCTTTGCCCCAGCCCATGGCCTCCCACCCTCAGATACACAAATCTCTGCGTTTGCTCCGCAAGATCTTGTCCAAGTGCCGGAAAAAGAGCGCCTGCCTGGGAGCCAACAACGGTGCCTTCGAGGGCGACTGAGAAGCCCTTTTCTTCATCCTGGGTGGCTGAGCAGAGTTCACCTTGTAGGGGTGGGTGGGGTGGGGGGGTTTGGGGGATTAAGTGGGGTAGCTTCTGAAATGTGTCCTCGCCACCCTGTTGTGGGCCCATATTTGCATACTTTTAAGAAATTAGAGTGCAGAATGTAAACAACTGTGCTATAAAATTGTGTAATTTTTGTGACGTCATGAATTGACAAGCCATTGTAACAAAAGTAAAACCCTTCTCTGTCTACAGATTTTTACAACTCCCTCTCCAATAGAAATGATGGAACGTTGTGTAAAATATAAATGAACACCGTAGTCACTAATGCATCCCCATACCATCAGAGAAGTAGGCTTTTGAACTG